AGCCTAAGCTAGCTTATCATTGCTGTTGTTATTGTTGCTGCTCTATATTTAGAACAAAAAACGAATTAGATAATAAAAAGGTTTGAGCAGCTTGTCATTGGTATTTGGATAGTACTCCTGTTTTTAGCCATAAATCAAAGTTGGTAACGAAATCTACAGAGGTCAATTATTTAAGGTTTTTTTTTTCCCAGATTGTGGTTCCAAGGCTTGATTCAATTTTTGAGATGAAAGAAATTATATTGAAATAATTAAAGTGATTTGAGCTAGAATTTCAAAGTTTAAAGTTGTCCAGGTCAGAATTTATATGATCTATTTCGATGTTGTTGGCAAACTTAATTCCATTTAAATTTGACAAGGTTGGAAACCTTTATTCGTGATGCTTGTGATGTGGCTTTTTCTTGCCTGGTGCAAGCTTGGAGTTTAATTACAATTGGAGATCACATTGACTGTTATACTTGCAAGATAATTTTTTTTGGTTGTTGTACAGGAGGACCCTCGATCACTAAGGGGACATTTGATAAAATTGAAAATTAAGTATTGAATTTTAAGTATCGAATATATTTCCGACAAATTATTTAGTGTTTCCTAAAAATTAAATGCTGAATATAATAAACTTGTTTGATAAGTACTATTGCTCGAACATATTAAGGCTATATACATGACAATTTTAATCTTATAATTATAACATTATATTTTTTATTACAAATAAAAACATATACATAGATGTGTTTGTGTGTATAAACAAATAAATAAAAATTTAATAAAAATGATTATTAATAAAAAAATAAATATGAAGAAGGTTTCTTCTATTTTGGTAATAGAGATAGTAAAGATTGTTTTTCAGTTGGTTTATATATCTAAAGTTCTAAAAATATAAAATGACGATATAGTCATATTCGAAGAGCTTGAAAAATCTTTCAATTCGACGTATTCATTAAAAGGTAATAAGTTAAAAACCTTAACTTATCCGATTAAATATATTTTGACTAAACTTAAATTCTTAATATGAGATTATTTAGGTCATCAAACAAACTTTTTATATTAAGTACTACAAATTAATTTTTTAGGCTATTTAAGTAGGTTATCAAATATCCCCTAAGTTAGTGTCTAAAGGTGATAGTAACTAGTAGATTTGAATATGATGAGATAGGTGTTTAGAGAACGATGAATAGTATTTAAAATTTAAAATTCGGGCATTCAAAACCATGAAATCTTACGCCCTCTTGTTATTTATATAGTTAAGGAATTTTATCGTGTTGGGTTAACAAAGCGTTAGAATGATTTATTCTATTGATATCATGATTATCCAATGTCTACTTGATGAACAAATATTTTTTATGTCATAATCATCCATGATCAAGCATGAATAATTTTATATGCATGTTGACGTTGAGTAGATGCTTGATCTATTATTTTTCATTGATGAGATTTAATATGTCGTTTGAATTTGTTATCCAAAGCAAGACTTTAGTATGCTCTATGAAAGTTATCGAGAATAGTTACAGTTACATACATAACCCAAGTATATTATTGTATCACCAAATGTTTTGTATGATGGACTCTATTGAATTTGCTATCCAGAGCAAGACTTTATCAAGACAATTTTTTTTAGTTATACACGAGGATACTTGATGACTTAAGTTAGTGTCTAAAGGTGACAATAATTAAGTAGATTTGGATATAGTGAGATGGGTGTTTAAAGAATGATGAACAGTATTTAAAAATCTAGGTATTCAAAATCATGATATCTTATGCCCTCATGTTATTTACACAGTCAAGGGATTTTAACGTGTTGTGTTAAGAGAGCGGTATAATGATTTATTCTATTGATATCGTGATTATCTAATATCTACTTGATGAACACATATTTTTTATGTTGGCATGACTCGTTTTTAGGGAATGTGGAGTCATAATTATCTTTGACCAAGCATGATTAATTTTATATGCATATTGATATTGAGTAGATGCTTGATCTATTATTTACTATTGATGAGATTGGATAGGTCGTTTGAATTTGCTATCCAAAGCAAGACTTTAGTATATTTTGTGAAAGTTATATAGAATAGTTGCAGTTTCATACGTGACCCAAATAGATTATTGTATTACCAAATGTTTTGTATGATAGACTCTATTAAAACTCATCAGGGATTATACGATGACAATTATAAATAAAAAATTATAAAAAAGATTGTTAAAAAAAAGTATATTTTCATGTTAACATATACGAGAAATAATGGCATTAAGGAAACATTTCAAAAGGTATGATAATATCTACCTAAAAAATAAGACATCGTTAATCCATGCATCCACGTCACCATCACTTCTTCCATTTTGCTTTCACTGTCTCACGAACCACATTGTCACGAGCAATTACTGTCTCACGCCACCCTCGCAAGATGCTTCATGTAGCACTGCATTAAATGTGGTAGACAAAGCGAAAAGGAAGAAGATTTTCAGTTCTCTTCCATTAATTTTTTAATGTTGAAACCAAACACGGTTCATTAATTTTGAGATGATGCGTCTTGATGTTGTTTTAATTAGCATTTCATTTTCTTAATCTTTCATCTAAAGGAATTGTAGAATTTTTAGGATTTTTCTTATCTCTCGTGCACTGCTATTGTCTTTTTACATGAAACAAAACAGCAATACAAGATTCGGTGTTTATTTATACAATTTTTTTAATTAAGTGTTTCCATTTTTTATGTCTCAGGAGCTCTATTTTTTTTTAATTACTTGTCTCTGTTTTTTTATATGATTGCTAGTATCTTCATTTTTTTTTCAATAAAGCCGAGAGACTTGATTTAAAAAAAAATGAAATTACAAATACATAAATAGAAAAAAAAAACAAAAGCCAAACCATTTGAATATAAAATTGTATAAACACGAGCTGAAATTTTCATTACCTCAAGTAAAGGACGTTCGACTATGTTAAGATGACATGTTTTAATATGTATTTTACTGATATATTAATTTTTTCGATAACTCTTTACGTAATTCATCCGTTGAGTTGTTTTTATGGGTTAGATATATCTGTATTCAAAGATGTTATTGAAAACATCAAACAATGATTTTTTTTTGTACGAAACTTAGAATTGGCTGCATTAGTTTTTTATTAAGGTCACGTTCGATCTAATTGTAACTAGGTTTCAAAAACTCTAATTGCCTTTCTCTTGTCATCGTGTCTGTATTTAGTTTGCATTTTTTTATTCATTGTAAATTGAGTTCTTATAGCATATTTTATTTTAATTTTTTACAACTGAATTGGATATCATAATCATTCACAATACCAATACTTTGTTACAATATCTCGTGACAGTGAACTTTTGGTTATTCGATTCAATTCTAGTTTTCATAAATTGGATTTGATTTTTAGTTATCTAACCAAAAAAAAGAAAAACCCAATTATAAATATTATTTGGTTTTTGATTTTTAGAACCGAAAACTTTGATTTTTTTTTTTAAATCGGTTTAAAATTTAAAAACCAAAATTGTTTCTTTGCTATAAGTCTAGAAAGACTAGAATTGATGGCTGGTGCACGTGCATGGTAGCTGCCTTGTTATTTCAGTTGTGTAACAAACACCTTAAGTTTAGTAATCAGACATTGGTGCTTATTATTGTGATGTTGTTTCCCTAGTTTTTATGGCCCATGTGATTATTTGGTTTCTTGAATACCAGAGTTTTCATTAGTTAGGTCTTTTATACTGATAGGTTAAAAGTCTCATTTTTAGTCTTTTTTTTTCTAATTTATTTTTAAAAAATAGTAAAAAATACCATCTAAAGTTTAATCAATTACAAGACAGCATAAAAATTCAAATCAAATAATATAACCCATAAATCACAATTCACATGGAAGTTATTTAGCAATCATCCAAAAAAAAAAAAAAATTGAACTAATAGGATGGTAGTTTTATGGTTTCTTAATATTAGATTATATTTATAAATATATAAACAAACAAATATATATATATATATATATATTAGTGAAAATCTATTTTTTTATAAAATTGAATCAAAATAAAAAAAGCTAAATTAAATTAAATTTGATTTTTAAAAAAGAAATCGACTAAAGCCGAACTAATTTTTTTATTTGGATTTAATTCGAATTGTACCCACCCCAATGCCCACTAATATTAATCATCGCAAGAAACAAAATTTGAAGAGATTACACGATTTAAACTCCTTTTTCAGCGCGGGAAATCACACACTATATATAAACACCAATTATACATACATCATTAGTCATTCCTCCCATTTTACACACTCACCATTATTGGCTTCAAGCCAAGCCACCAAGCCACACCTCTCTCCCTCCCCAGCACCCACGCCTACCCCGCAAACCCCCAACAAATCCAACGCCCCCCCCCCCCCCCCCCCTCTCTCTCTCTCTCTCGCGGGCAAATAATTGGGCAAATCTGAAAAATATCTGTAGAGCGGTCTTAATTTTACCACTAAACAATTTTTAATATTTATTTTATCCTCAAAAAAATTTTCAACTAAAAGCTCTGTTTAGTTGATATATAAACAAAAAATATATATATATACATATTAGTGTTGGTAACTCCTTTTTCAATTAATTTTTAATTTTTTTTATTTATGTTTTTTTCACCCAAATATTCTTATTTTTTTTAAGTTAGGATTTTATTTTTATAGGGAATTTAACTTTTTCTCTTAAGTGATTTTAAAAGAATCCTAAGTAAGAAATCAAAATAAACATAAAATTGATATAAAAATTAATTTGGGTATAAAACTGTTTGTATCAGAATAATTTGGAGGCATGTTTATGTTTGCCCAAAATAGTTTTAAAAAAGCTCCCGATAACAGAACAAATAGAGCACACCCCTACCTAAACATCTTTTCATTACACACAAAAAACAAACAGCAGCTCTCTCTCTCTCACTCACACTCACTTTTTTTCTTTTTTGGAAATGATCTTAATTTCTCTCTCACTCTAGAACATCAACATTCTTGCTTTCTATATTTGCATGGTTACCAACACTATAATGAAAAATAAAACTTACAATGTTGTCAGTAGCGAGGGAAGCGGTGGAGACGGAAATTCTCCTAGTCCACCACCATCGCCAAGGCGTCAGACTAGCGGTTTCTCTCAATGTCGTCGGCGGCTCCGCTCGAAGGTTCAGTTACAGTATTTCCGCAAAGACAGTTTAGCTGCCGGAATTTTTGTCCGGCGGAATATACAGTTCCTGCTGCTCTTGTTCTTTCTCTACTTTTCTGGTTTGCTGATGTGCGTGGGCCGGTTCTCGGATTTCCTGCGTCACTCTCGCGAGCCTATTGCGATCTATAAAAGCCATCTCTTGTTGGAGAAGCTTTGGCACGATATCGAGACTGACAATTCTACTGCTCTCGAGGTTTTCAGCCTTTTCAAATTATTATTATTATTATTTGTTTTTGTCTTGTTTTACTTTTATTTTCTGTTTGGTTGCTGGGGAAATGTGGAAAAAGAAAAAGGAAAGAAAGAAATAATGATAATAATAATAAAGTTAGCAACCACCGAATTGCTACGTGGGGCCGAAGGAGGAAAAATGTTAAAAAAGATCTCAAATGACTATCAGGTCTAAAGAGATGGGTTAATTTGATCATGATCGTGGCATTAGTAATTTTGAGAGGCTTTTGGTTGTTAGTAAAGTGAATTACTAAATCCTAGTAAGAGGGTTTTGCCATCTAGTCAACTTTATCATTTTTTTTTTTTTGCAAATTAGTATATTATTTTTGCTAATTAAACTATGATCCATTTCCTTTTTTTTTTTTTCAGCTATCTTCTGTATGGCAATTCAAAAGGAGAATGAAAGTGCAGAAACCTTGTCCCATGCCAACTGCTAGACGGCATTTGGGCTCAGTTGAAGGTAATTGTAATTATTGCTGAGAATTTTCAGTCCTATGCACATCCCTTTACCTTCTCCCGGGCATCAATGCCTTCTGTTTAAGGATAATGTCGGCACACTAATCAGCTCCAAGGGGAAAATTAGCTGAGTTTTAAGAAATAGAAGTGTAAAACCGATATTTGTATTTTCAAATGCAGTGTCATCTGGCCCAACCGGTTACTTAATTGTTGAGGCAAATGGGGGTCTGAACCAACAACGCTCTGCGGTATGTTATCTATTATTCTATTTATTGCTGTCATTATAGGATCTAGTCAGAGCATTATGGCCTGCCAGAAATTTAGAGTCTTGATGCATTGATTTCGATATACATTTATTTAATAATCTGCTCATAAGCTTGTCCTCATGTACCCCTTATGTCTTGTTGTAGATCTGCAACGCAGTTGCTGTAGCTGGAATTTTGAATGCAGTTCTGGTGATCCCTAGTTTTGGTTACAACAGTGTCTGGAAGGATCCAAGGTGAGCCGCTAACTTATTTCCACATTTGCTTTTTTTTAGAGAAGTTCTGAACCAGGTTTTCAATTTCAAACCTCGTGAGCTGACATTAAGGCCATATCTGATTATTGTCGGGCTGAACTTTAATTATCTAAACTCACTCATAAATTTAAAGAAGTCATATTAGTGGAACCTGGAAATACTTTAGAAATGGCTGAACTTTAATCAGTATTCAAATTTGCTGGGAGTGGTGCTTCCATTTTTCAGGGTTTTATCTGTAAGAGTAACAGTTACTGCCAAGCACGACATCTTAAAAACATGATCAAATACTGATTTTTTCATTTTCATTTTCTTTTAAATTCGAGACAAGATGGTGGTGGGCGCTTGCCAGGACAACCTTCAGGCCTGATGTTGCCATTATTTCAATATGTATGTCTGTCTGTCTAGATCGATAGATGTGTCAACGCTGATTGTGCCATGCATATCATGCATGATGCAAAATGCATTGGCCGTTTATGTGCTGCATTAAAAATTACCCCATCAATCCACCAGGCAGCACACTCTTTTAACTTTTCAGGCAAGATAGTTTTTTGGTATTTTATTTCTTCTAGATTGTGGATGAGCCCTACTGGCATGAGTTTGTAATCAAATAAACCTCCATTTTTTTGGAGTAAAATTGAGGGTCATGGTTCAAATGGGGCTCCCAACAGTGGTGAGTGGCTTGCTATTTGTATTTGGAAACTTGCCAAAAGTGCTAGCTTATAAGAGAAACATAAGTTCCACCCCTGCATTCCCATGCTTTCTATGATTTTCTTTTGAAATTGGATCTTTCTGCACCAAATCAGTTATATAGCTAAAGATTCATTTGTTTTACAGTGAATTCAGAGACATATATGATGAAGATCATTTTATATCAACTCTTGAGGGTTATGTGAAAGTGGTTAAAGAGTTGCCTGATGAATTAATATCGAGATACGACCACAATATTACTAATATTCAACACCTCCGTGTTGAAGCATGGGCTCCTGCTAAACATTATATAGGAAAAGTTTATCCTGTCCTGCAGGAGCAAGGGTATGTGATGGAGCATTCTTTCTTATTCTTCATTTTTTTTACTATTATTTATCTCTTCCCTCAATTAGAATGTATCTGTTTGTAAGAAAATGACCCCATCTGTGTTGCTAATTTGTCCCTATTCTCATAATTTCTGTATTCAACACTTTCTAACCTGATATCTGTTGAAACATACTGGTAGCTCGTTTTTAACCATTCACTTGTTCAAAACAGGGTCATCCGGATTGCACCCTTTGCCAATAGATTGGCTATGGATGTCCCATCTCATATTCAATTGCTTAGGTGCATAACAAATTATAGAGCATTGAGGTTCTCTTCTCCTGTAACAACTTTAGCACAGAAATTAGTAAACCGAATGACGGAGAGGAGCTCAATGACTGGTGGAAAATATGTTTCTGTTCACCTTCGATTTGAGGAGGTACTAAAGCTCTTATCTTATTCTATTCTAAGCAAGTTTTCTGTTCTTTAAATATTTTATGTTGAAATGTTAAGGATCAGATTTCACATAATGATGAAGACATCTCTCTTCATATTTTAGGATATGGTGGCCTTCTCATGCTGTTTGTATGGCGGAGGAGATGCTGAAAAGATTGAGATGGATTCATTTCGGGAAAAAGGGTGGAAAGGGAAGTTCAAAAGAAAAGATATTGACTTCGCAGCTGGACGTAATCGTATAGATGGAAAATGCCCTCTAACACCCTTGGAGGTACCTCACATATCTACCACTTCTTTTGCTAGTCCAACTTTTGGCATTTAATTTGAGCTATTTGTAGAGCTCTTCCTTTCATAAAATGGCTGCTATTATGAGTTAGTTGCAGCCTTACCACAATTTTTCATGGTCTTCTACTTGCTTTTATAGCATCTTAAATTAAACTGAATAGCGTTGAGGAGTGCTTGAGAGCTTTTCTCTAAGTTCCTAGTACATTCTGCATCTCTTGTTTGTTTTGTTTTGTGCAACATGTTCATAACTGCATACAAACTTTAAAAAGATTTTTTTGGATGATGCTATAAAACAAAACAAAATTCTAACAGCTTCAATTATAACAATGCAAATGAATTGTGAATGACTCTTAATTCAACTTGGCATGGTTGCACTACCTTTTGAATCACCTCATTGTTTCTCATCCTTGCTGATCTAATTTGGTCAGTAATAACTCTTTTTGCACACTATATTTTTCCTGTCAGCATAGGTTGGGATGATGCTGCGTGGCATGGGATTTGATAACAACACTTCGATATATTTAGCCTCGGGGAAAATATACAAAGCAGAACAACAATTAGCTCCTTTACTGAAGATGTTTCCTCTTCTTTACACCAAGGAGTCTCTTGCAACCTCAGATGAGCTTGCTTCTTTTCTGGTAAATCCTAAATGCTCGCTATACATGTCTTGCATTGTGTGGTTAAAGGAATTAGTTGGATCAGGATGTTTTTGCAAATCGACTGATATGCTTTACAGTTAGCCTAAACCATATAAGTATACTGCATGTGCCACATTACTGTTCCTGCTTCACTTACAACTCATGTTTTATCCGAGCTTGTGGCATCAAATTTTAAAGGCATTTATTTGACTTGATACTCTGCTCAAAATGTTATTTGTTAGGAGTTATTTGACCAAAAGCTTCTACTAACTTTCTCAAATACCTGTTTTCTATGGTAGCAGGGCTATTCTTCGAGGCTGGCAGCTTTGGATTACACTGTATGCTTGTTCAGTGAGGTTTTTGTGACTACTCACGGTGGAAACTTCCCACATTTTCTGATGGGTCACCGTAGATTCCTTTTTAATGGGCATGCAAAGACCCTTAAGCCTGACAAACGCACGCTTGTTGGTCTACTTGAAAACATGACAATCAGGTATTTTTTCTGTCAACTGCATCGCCCCACTTCATTAATTTAACTTGTGTTTGTTCGAACTGACATAAAAGGTAATGTTGAAAATTTTGGACTTGTTGATTGTTTGTTGATGACTTGATAAATAGCAGTTCAGTGGAAAACAGTGACCGAATAAAATGTCTTGTAGGTGCCACTTCGACTTTTGGCATGTTCTATCAAATAGCAGTTAGTATATTGAACCTTTGAAAATTCTTCAGAGATTGTGTTTCTTGGTTCACCACAAGCATAGTAAACATCAATTTAAAAACCGTTGTAGAAAAGATATTAAAAAGGATATGTTGTTTTAAGGTTTTTCATTAACCAGGGAAGACCGTTGTTAAAGTGGTTTTGCTTTATGAATCGTGAAAAGCTAGATTGCAAGATTCCATTGAGCTCCAGGATTTGGCACAGGCCCAATACAGAAAAAAAAATGCTTTGTAGCAGTTGATGATGGAATGTTTACTCATTGGATTTGCAGCTGGAAGGACTTCAAGGATGATATGGAAGCAATGCTTCTTGAAAGTGATCGCAAGTCGATGATGATTCCTAGAGTCAGAAAATTCAACAGAAAAAATTCAATCTACACGTTCCCATTGCCAGAATGTGACTGTCTCCAGTCACATGACCCCTCACGTGGGCAAAACCACACTCTTAACGTTCTTGATCCCCAGCTTGAATCCACAAGATAAACAAATTCCAGACTTAATTGGTTTTCCTCTCACGTACAGTAATAAATCAATACTTTTATAGTCTTGCGCAGCTTGACTTGTTTTCTTCAGCGGTTCTTTCAGCAATTCAGCCCGTTCTCATGGATTGTTATGTGCAAAAGCAGATGGCAGTTACAGTTGTCATGGGGAGATGCGTGGATAGTGATTTTGATCTTTCGATGAATTCTTCTGATGGTGTACTTTTCGCGCAAGACTGCATCCGAATTATTCTCTGCATTGATTGAAGTTTTTTCGGTATCCAGTTTTCTGTTAGCTGCAGTGGGTGAATGTTGTTTGGTTTTTGGCTGCATGGAGAATGGTAAAAAGCGGTTCATATAGCTGATCCCAACTAGTTTGGAATTAGGGTTTGGTAATTGTTGCTGTAACATAGAGATAGACTTAGTAGCTTTGTTCAACTGCTGTCTATAGGTTGACCTTTTCTTTCACCCCACCCCCAGATTCTAAATATCGTCTCAATTTTAGATTATTTTTATTGTTATATGGAAATTAGGCGTGGCTTATCATAAATTTTTATACATACTTGGCTATAGATAATTCTGCTTTTGGTAATATATACTGTTAACATCTTTGATACTGAAATTCTGAAAAAAAAAAAAAAAAATTCCTCTTTGATTTGAATGCATTATTCTTTGGCGAAATTCAAAGGTATGTGCTATTAGAAATTTAGAACAAAGCAAAAGATTTTCTTTTCCTTCTTTTTTTCTCTATTCAGCGTAGAAAAAGTAATTCCGGTAACTATATTCTAATTCTTGTAGATTCTGTACTGTTTTTGGGCTCCTGTCCCATAGTACAAACTAGTTGAATAAAATATATTTATTTTAATTTAATAGTTTATATTATATTATTAGTTTATCAAAATATATTAAATTAAAAATAAATGATAAAAAATTATCTAATTTTATAATCTTTAATCAAATTTTATATTATATTCATTTTTTTTCATGTTTTCATAGATTTTGTTGTTATAAAAAAATAATTTGTTTTTTGTTATGCATTCATTTTTAAATAAAAATTTGTAATAATATAAATAGAAATTTAATATAAAATTTTAAAAAAACATCTTAATATTTTTTATCATATGATTGCATCAAAGAAGTAAAGCAACATTCAATATAAAAACTTGTATAAAAATTAACTAACAAATCTTTTTTAATGTTTTGAAAATATATACATTTGATTTATATATATTTATTTATAACAAAATTAATAAAATTAGTATAAAAATATATATTTGAATTATTAGGTGGTTCTTCTAAAATAGTAGTTTAATTATTTTATTTAAAATTAATTAATTTTAAAATATTAAAAATAATTAATAGCAAGCGGTAGGTGTTATTTGTGTATATAGATGCATAGCTAACTTTTAATAAGACTAATGATTTTGGTATTTTTTTTTATATACATCATGATCATATTCAATGGGCTAGAGTGTGTAGTGTAAATTAAAAAATATTTTTTAAAAAACTCAAGTTATAAAAAATATATTGAAGTTAATAGAATACAATAAAAATAAGTAAAAAATTTATTCCAAATTTTTTATTATATGAAGAATAAGCCAAAAAAAAAAAAACACATGAATTATATTACTTAATTAATTGTTTACTTTGAAAAAAATATATTTAAAAATTCATACATATAGAAAAATAAATTATATTTATTAATAAATAAAATTACATAAAAAAATTGATGAGAGTTTTTTAAAGAAATGATAAATTGAAGAGACCAATTTTAAACAATAAGAATAATATAATTAGATATACTTATATCATAAGGGGCAAAAAATATATTTTGAAAAAAAAATAAGTAAACAAAACTTAATAAGGTAAAAATATAATGTGTCAAAATATCTTTAAAAACATGATGGATAAAAAATATCTCTTTGTAAAAATAAAGGACCAAAATAGAATAAAATGTAAAATTTGCAAATAAATATCCAAAAATTATGAAAATGACACTGTCTAAAATTATCAAAATTGCCGTCATAAAGAGTATTTACTATTCTTTTGCCCCAAATCTTTTAAGTTTTCTTTAAATTTTCCCAATGTCAACCCGAGAAATTCAAAGAATATCCGATTGTCCGTTTGTCCTTAAACAACCAATACTCCTTTGTTGTGTATTTGCGGTTTTCTACGAATTTTCATGGAATACAATGTGAGGCATCGAGAGGAACAGATATGAGAAAAATAAGAAAAGCTAGATGAAAGGAGCTGAGAATGGTGAGCATTCCGCGAGCTATTTGACAACAAATGCTCGTGTAGAAACTCTAGGAAAACTATGTAAGAGTTAATGTTGGAAAATGAGTTAATGACGTGCTTTCTTCTTGTATTCTTGATTTTTTATGGATTCTATCCTCCTCCTAATTGTAGGATCCAGTTCTTCCATCCAATTTCGTTACATTGGACGTCATGTGTAAGAGATATCTGCATTACGAATAGAAAAACTAAGGTGGTGTTTAATAAAATTAAAAATTAAATGTTAAATTTATTAAGTGTCGAATCTTTTAAATACTGAATATGTTCACGATAAGTTGTTTGATATTTACTAAAAATTAAGTACTGAATATAATAAGCATGTTTGAAGATGATAGAATATATATGATATTTTTTAAGATTTTAGTTTGAACATATGTATTTGATTATATTACTCTTATTGTTTAAAATTTATTTTTTTCAATTATTTTTTTCTTACTAAAATTCTCATCAAATTAATTTTTGATATAATTTTATTTGTTAATAAATTTGATTTTTTAATATATGAATTTTGGAATAAAATTTTATAACGTCAATGTTTTATTTTTAAAAAATATATTATTATAATTTATATAATGAATTATTTTTATGCTTTTCAAATGAGTATTTTATTTTTCAAAATATATTATTATAATTTATAAATTCTGATATATATATATATATATATATATATAGAGAGAGAGAGAGAGAGAGAGTATGGGGGTGTTTGATAACCTAATTAAGTAGCTTAAAAAATTAAGTTGTACTACTTAATATAAAAATTTTGTTTGATAACTTAAATAATCTCATATTAAAACTTTAAGTTCCGTTAAAATCTATTTAATCGGATAAATTAAAATTTTTAACTTATTTGATTAAGTCAAACTATTTAAAACATACTCTCTCTCTCTCTCTCTCTCTCTCTCTAATATATATATATATATATCGAATTTATAAATTATAATAATATATTTTGAAAAATAAAATACTCATTTGAAAAGCATAAAAATAATTCATTATATAAATTATAATAATATATTTTTTTAAAATAAAACATTGATATTATAAAATTTTATTCCAAAATTCATATATTAAAAAATCAAATTTATTAACAAATAAAATTATATCAAAAATTAATTTGATGAGAATTTTAGTAAAAAAATAATTGAAAAAAATAAATTTTAAACAATAAGAGTAATATAATCAAATACGTATGTTCAAACTAAAATCTTTAAAGATATTATATATATTCTATCATCTTCAAACAGAACTTATTATATTTAGTACTTAATTTTCGATAAATACCAAACAGACTTGTCGAGAACATATTCGATACTTAATCAGATTCGGCATTTAAAATTCAGTACTTAATAGATTCAGCACTTAATTTTCAATGTTACCAAACACCACCTATGTTTTAGATAGTTTGACTTAATTAGATAAGTTAAAAATTTTAATTTATCCGATTAAGTAGATTTTAATCGAACCGAAAGTTTTAATATAAGATCATTTAAGTTATCAAACAAGATTTTTATATTAAGTAGTACAACTTAATTTTTTAAGTTACTTGATTAGGTTATCAAACACCCCATAAATGTGAAAATTCAAAAATGATGAAAAAAGCAAAAACCAAATTTAAATATTAAATGAATTAAATTAAAATTATAGGAAAAAAGAAGCATACACGTTGCTCAATAATTTCAATTCAAATTTTTAAATTTTAATTTAATTTATAAATTTAACAAACCTAGTTCTTCCAATTAGAAGACAAAAGAGTGACACATACTTTACCGAATAATTTTTATTCAAATTATTTAACATTAATTTAGCTACTAATAGTTGATTAGTTTGTTTAATTTCTAAATTTTAGAAATCTTATATTTTACTATTCAGTTATATTTTTATAGTTTTTAATCTTTTTAAAAATATTTATTATTTCATAACATTACATTTGGATCATTTTTTTAACATTGTTTTTTTGGTATATAATTTTTTGTTTCATTTTGATCCTTCTTTTGCTTTATTTTTTCATTTTGGTCCTTGTTTTTCTTTAATTTTTTCAATTAAAAATTTTAAGGCAAAAAAAAATTTACAAATTAAGTTTTTAGCTAAAAATTCATTAATTTTGATATTTGTTTTTACATTATTATAAATTTTTTAGTTAAGAACATAGATAGAGATAAATAAATAATATTTTTAATAAAAAAAATTATGAAAAATATAAAGAATAATCAGTGAAATATAAAATTTTGATTAAAAACTTATAAAATTGAATGAATTTTTATTCAATTTTGATTTGATATATTTTAATAAATGTAAAATATAATACAAGACATCAAATTAAAATAATTTTTTAATAATAATTTTATTTATTCGGTTGGATCCGTAGCATAGCGTACAGGCTAGTTAAAAAAAACTCGTAAAGTGTAAATCAAAACACCACCACCATTCTCGTTCTCCATTTAGCCCACTTGAACTGGTGGTCATAAATGGATGAAAGCAGATCCAGAGGCAGGTCACACAATACCATTAACCCATAAAATAAATTTAGCCGAGTTATTAATTGATGTTAGGGAAGAAGCCCAAAGATAGAAAGGCAACAAGGCCTAGGCAGAGCATTTTTAAAACCAACAGCCATGAGCCCAAACTCCAGCCCACATAACTCTTCAGTTGGTTGGTCTTGATTCCTCACCCTTCGGCTTCGCGGTTTCTATTTGCCAGTTCGCATCAACATTAAGACAATAACCTCCCTCCATTCTAACGGTCACAAAAAAGAAAACTAATCTACCTTCTTCCAGCCCTGTGAACTTCTAGTTACGTAGCTTCTTCTAAACATGCCGTTTAACAATTTATAAGCTCTTCAACCCTTCATGGATAATGAAAATGGTCTTGAAGCATATAGTTGCAGCTATACGCCATTGTGGGCGAGTTAAAGCTCTCAAACAAGGCAAATCATTTCATTCTGATTTGATCAAAATGGGGTATTTTCATAACATCTACATAGCTAGCAATTTGATAACGATGTAGGTAGACTTCAGTTTTTTAACCGAGGCACATAAACTGTTCGATGAAATGCCTATTAAAAACATTGTTACTTGGACCACTGTGGTTTCTGCATATACCAGCAATGGAAAGCCTCGTGAAGCAATAAAACTGTACACCCAGATGTTAGATTCTAAATCAGAGGTCCCTAATGGGTTTATGTACTCTGTGGTTTTGAAAGCATGTGGTCTTGTGGGTGAGATTGAACTGGGTAGATTGATTCATGAGAGAATTTCTAGAGACAATTTGGATGATGATATTGTTTTGCTGAATGCTCTTTTGGATATGTATGTTAAATGTGGATGCTTGAGTGATGCAAGAAAAGTTTTTGATGGGATCTTTTTGAGGGCGAATTCCACTTCCTGGAATACAATGATTTCAGGGTACTGTAAGGAAGGTTTGATGGAGGAGGCTGTTAATTTGTTCAATCGAATGCCAGAGAGAAATGTTGTTTCTTGGAATACTATTGTTGCTGGTTTTGCAGAAAATGGAAGTTTGTGCGCTTTGCAGTTGGTTTGTAAGATGCACCGGGAAGGGATTAAACTCGATGAATTTACATTTCCATGTGCTCTTAAAACATGTAGTTATGTTGGTTGCTTAGTTGCAGGAAAACTGATTCACGGTTATGTTTTAAAGTCTGGTTTGGAGTCTAGTTGCTTCACTGTGTCGGCGCTGGTTGATATGTATTCAAATTGCAATGTGCTGGATGATTCTATAAGGCTGTTTGATCAATACTCAGGTGTTATTGGTTCAATCTGTGATAGCATAGTGCTTTGGAACTCTATGCTTTCGGGATATGTTGTTCATGAGCAAAATAGAGCTGCTGTTAATATGATTTCACAAATCCATCATTCCGGTGCTCCTATTGATTTTTACACTTTGAGTAGTGCTTTGAAGGTCTGCATCAACTCACTGAACGTGAGACTTGGGATTCAGGTTCATGGTTTAGTTGTTATCAGTGGGTATGAGTTAGATTATGTTGTTGGAAGCATCCTTGTAGAGCTCTATGCCAAACTGGGGAATATGAAGGATGCTTTTGGACTGTTTCATAGGCTTCCAAAGAAAGATATTGTAGCTTGGTCTGGTTTAATCATGGGGTGTACTAAGATGCAATTGAACACCTTAGCTTTTTCACTGTTTAGAGATATGGTTATGTTTGGTATTGTAGTAGATCAGTATATTGTTTCTAATGTTCTGAAAGTTTGTTCCAGTTTGGCGTCTCTTGGAACTGGTAAACAGGTTCATGCTTTCTGTATTAAGAGAGGATATGAAACAGAACAGGTTACGATCACAGCCCTTATTGGCATGTATTCAAAATGTGGTGAAGTAGAAGATGGTTTGGTGTTGTTTGGCTGCGTTGCAGATAGGGATGTTGTATGCTGGACAGGGATCATTATGGGGTGTGCGCAGAATGGAAGGGCAAGGGAAGCTCTTGAATTTTTCCAAGAGATGGCACAATCAGGGTTAAAGCCAAATGAAGTCACTTATCTAGGTGTTCTTACTGCATGTAGGCATGCCGGTTTGGTTGCAGAGGCACAGACCATATTTGAGACCATGAAATTTGATCATGAACTTGAACCTCATCTAGAACATTATTATTGCATGGTTGATATTCTATGTCAAGCTGGATGTTTCAAAGAGGTAGAGAAGCTAATTTCCATGATGCCATTTAAACCTGACAAAACCATATGGAGCTCCATGCTTGGGGCCTGTGGGACTCACAGGAATACTGGATTGGTTAGTACCATTGCTGAAAACCTTCTTTCAGATTGTCCAAATGACCCTTCGATTTATGTTATGCTTTCAAATGCATATGCAACATTGGGAATGTGGGATAGTCTAAGCCAAGTGAGGGAAGCTGCTAAAAAATTGGGTGTCAAAGCAGCTGGAACGAGCCGGATTGAGATTTCTAGTTAAGATGCATTGCTTTAATTCATGGCAGGGCATTAATAAATTTTTCCTGAAGTTCGGGATTGAGTGGTCAAACATTCTTACTGCTACTTATCTATTGGTCATTTGTGGGTGGGATGTGAGTGTAAGAGCATTACCCGTGCTAAACAGCTGGATTGCATTGAAGAAAACCTAGAGATGCAGAAACAAAACTACATCTTGTATGCTGACAGTCTGAAGATATCAATATGAAGGTAACTCTCAATCCACCTGCAGTAACCATGTTATATTTCAATTTATTGGTATGCGCACTTGCTTACTTTCCATGCATGAACATCCAGGAAATTTACAAGTTCTGCGCGTGCTTTCGTCTGTGATAAGTTTTCGTGCTTTCATAATTTTTGACATGTTATGATAATCGGTGGCACATCAGGTTGACTGTTCCAGCATGCCAATAAAAGTCTTCTCCCTGGACACACAATTTTCGAGACAAATTATGTGCAACTAATGTAAGTGTGCTACACATTATGGATTTCGGATGCAACAATACATGATATTACTCAGCCAACATTTCTTTTCGATTTTTTTTTCTTTTACGGTAGAAAGGACTATCTTAATTCTACATTTTGGGTTTTACAGAGTAGGAAATTGCAATAGAGGGGTCCGAGAAAGGAAGAAATGAATTTGAATTATCTACAGGTTTGGCCTCTCTCAATTTCGTTGAGTATTCTTGTTTGATCAACTATTTGGAATACTGTTCAACTATAGAGATGGTCAGTCAAACAGACTGACAGGTCCAAGCCCAATTTGTTGCATACATAACAAAGTATCTGTAATTGATGCAGATGCAGTTGAATTACTAATCAGTTGAAAAATACTAGAATTTGCAAGGAACAACTAGAAAGACCAGAAATTCTTATTCAAATGGGACTTTAACCATAATATTTGAGTTTCAATGCAATCAATGAAAACAAATGCTGGAACAGTAACAATGCAAGTGACTGAAAAAGAAGAAATACAGAGGGAAAAGAGCAGAAGAACTAGAGAGGCTAGAAAGATGAAGAGGGAGAAGATTTATGCTAACTACACAAATTAACTTTTCCGCACTCTCCTCACTGCCTTTTATTAGCTAACAACTTCAACTAATTGCTTAACTAACTACTAACAACTTTTCCAATTACTAACAGCTTCAGTATTAGTTTCCTTTGACAACTAAAGCTGCCAACTGCCCATTTCACTTGCCAATTCAACACCATATTAGCTAACTACACAAATTAACTTTTCCGCACTCTCCTCACTCCCTTTTATTAGCTAACAACTTCAACTAACTGCTTAACTAACTACTAACAACTTTTCCAATTACTATTAGTTCCCTTTGACAACTAAAGCTGCCAACTGCCCATTTCACTTGCCAACTCAACACCATATTGCTAACTTATACCTTGCCAGCTCACTAACATAAAGAGTTGCATTAATACCCTTCCTCTCAAGAAACCTTATCCTCGACGTTAAAATGAAGAATCTTCTGCTCCGAGACTGTTAGCAGGCAGAGAGCAACAAATGCTTATAAACTCTTTGCTTCTGCAACAACTTCCAAAACTATCTTTGGAAGGTATTTCCTCCCAGGTGAAAACTATCCAAGACCATCTAAAGCCTTTAAACTTTTTTGGGCAAGCATTGGCTAACTACTTTCCTCCACCAGATTATGGTTCTCTAACATATAAAGTATGACCAAGAGAGGAGAACTATTATGTCCTGTAAAAGTAGTCCTAAAGTTGTTGAGCCAAATCTTGTCGGAAGCTTAATCATTTCTGCTAGAAGCTCACTCAAGACAAAATCCCCAGCATCAAATTTAAAAATTGTTGATTCGATACATTCAACCATGTCAAGCTCTTCCACAACAACACTCCACAGCTTGTCCAATAACATAATTTTCATTCCAGTAATTCTTTTAAAGAGTTCCGCAACTATGAAATGCTTTTTCAATTTGTCTTCCGGAAATTTATCATGGCAGTCTTTTGTAAGCAAAGTGTACTCATCTTGAGACATAAGGCTACAATTGCTTCCTAATCCACATGCTTTTTGTAACAAAGCCTTCTGTTTTGGTAGCTTAATTTCTGACAAATGAAGCCGAAGGGGGCCATTTGTGGGTTCAATTTCTACCATAGACACACCAATGTGAAAGCAACACAAGCAATTATCATTGATTATCCCACGCCCATCATTCAACTTCTCCTTAAGCTCTGCTGAGCAGGTTGTTGCTTCAAATCTAAATCTATCTTCCAGCTGCAATTCAATGCCAACTTTTGTTTCAAAAGGGAGCGTGTTTTTTAGTTGAAATATAGTATTGTTGTTCCTACAAAACTCAAATGAACAATTTGATTATTTTTGTAAACATTCTAGAGCATATTTATAACTAGACATACCTTCCCTTTTTAATGCAACAACCCTTAAATTTTTAAACCAAGGAGGCCCATCTGTAGGTTCAATGTCCTCAACATGCATACCATCAAGAAGATAGCAGTCCTTGGAATTGCGCCAAGAGGAAATTTGGCATAGGGAATTACGTCTAATACAACTATTCTCACCTACAATCTCATTTCCAACAATATCCTTATTCTCAAAACCAAAATTCAAAAATTTTATCTTGCTTAACACCACATATTGAACCCCACAATCATCATAGCATTGTTGATTCTTAATATCAATTAAATGCTTTATCCCTTATTTCATTGAAACCTACACAATTAATAAAATCAACAGTTGTAATATGAGACTTGGATTCAATCTCATCTGATTCTTGGTATGTAAGAAAGAGAAAACATCACTTTCTGATGCTATAATACATGTTTTTTGTTGATTCGTAAGTGGCAGCATATCTTTTTTGTTCGTAGAGCTTTCATCTTGCAACAACCACTTCAAACACTCAAGAATCTCATTTTTTAACTAATTAAACTTTCACTTGAATTCTTGAGCCGTTCCATACAAATCTTGATTCAACTTTGTTGTGTTATTGTAGTCTGACGGGTTGGTCTTTGAATTCACATGGAAACTTTCATTGATGATTTCACCTTTAATTGATTCATGGGTATCTCAAACTAGCAATTTGCTATTGCTTTCTATTGTTTCTTCATTTTCCAAGACGAAGAGAATTTCTCTACCAACATCATTAGTCACAATGATTTGAGTCATTGATGGCTTCTTGCAATTGATTTCTCCATGATGTTTACCATTACACCAAAAACAAAGATCATGAACATAACTCCTTTCATTCAACTCGAAAATAGTGAAATACCTAATTAGGGATTCTGCCATTGATACCAATTTGTGTAATTGCTCTAATTCATATCAAAATTCACCCTTCCACAGGTGCCAAGATTTGCTTCGCTACCAATTGATGTATTTAAATTTCTAATCAATTGAAAAACACTAGAATTTGCAAGGAACAAGTAGAAAGATCAGAAATTCTTATTCAAATGGAATTTTAACTGCAATATTTGAGTTTCAATATAATCAATGAAAACAAATGCTAAAACAATAACAATGCAATTGATTGGAAAAGAAGAAGAAATATAGAGGGAAAAGAGCAAAAGAACTAGAGAGAAACTAGAAAGATGAAGAGAGAGAAGATTTCTGCTAACTTCACAACATAACTTTTCCACACTCTCCTCACTCCCTTTTATTACATAATAACTTCAACGAACTGCTTGACTAACTACTAGCAAATCTTTCAATTACTAACAGCTTCAGTATTAGTTTATTTTGACAACTAAAGTTGCCAACTGCCTATTTCACTTGCCAGCTCACCACTATATTGCCAACTCATACCTAGCCAGCTCGCTAATATAAAGAGTTGCATCAGTAATTAAGTCTGTCTAATAAGCAACGGCATGGGTTTATCTTCGGTCATGAAGTTCTAGAGTCTCTACCTATTAGGCTCAAGCCTTTGAATTTGCCAATTTGCACATTCTCCCGTCTCTCTCAACGGTATGGGTCTATCCTATTCACGTCCTTTCCTTCTCCACTGGTACATGTGGATGCAATGTGGAGAAATTTCTCTGTTTTTGTGTAGTAGTAACGGAATGCTAAAAATAAGGAGTGAAATGATGATCTAGCAGCATATTGGTATAAATGTGTCCTCTGTGTAACAACAACTGGGCAAGCTTTTCTTGCTTCCCTTTTTTGTCCTACTATTATTTAGAAGAATTATATAGGAAAAACAACTATAGTTGTGTATTTATACCTGACAATCCAATGTTAAAGTCTTAATTTGCACTTGCACCTATTCGTCAATCGCCATAAGGCCTACTACTCTCGTTTGGAAGAGGTTCTTAGTTTGGCAAGAATCAGCTGGCCTCTATTCCTTCCAAAGTTTAATAATCATTGCTCATGTCGTGGACTTCGAAAGCAAGGAAAGGTACTGCAAGAGAAAGGATAGAATGGTCCTAAAAGTGTACCCTGGTCTAGCCATTTGACCTTGACCCAACAGACTTGAGCAAGCAACTGCAACCTGCGTGGGTACCACCTAGGCAAATTAGTGAGCCCCACCGTCCAATTATCATTGTTAATGCAAAGGGCAATCGCTTGCTCTGCAATCTGCAAGGCCTTATTCGGTTATTCCATGGTTGTAGTTGGATGTCTTGAACAGTACTCTTTCACATGCTATGTTGCTTTCTTCTTCCATCATTTCACGAGTAAATTATAAATTAGTCCCTCCCATTTTGAAAATTAATTAGTCTTTTTCATTTAAAATACGAATCATTTAGTTTATCACATTTTAATTCTTTCAATAATATAATCATTTTATTAGTTTTCTGTTAGGTTAAGAATGAGGTGTCATCATACAATTTTTTTGTTTTCAAATTGTCATTCTTTTGATATCTTATTTCTCTCATTCATCTTTTTCTCTCTCTCTCGATTTTTTTCAATAAGTGCTAAGAGGGTGAATGTTGATGTTGTGTTTCAAGAAGCTAAATGCTAAGCATTCAATTGAACGCAATTGCATATAATTCAGCCATTGGAAGCTA